CAAATATGTTTTGGGGACATTGTGTGGAAAACAGCAAGAGAGACAAAACGGAAAGAATACACCCTGAGCACTTGGCAGCATTCAGAGAGGATAAAATGGAGTTCTTAAAATAGAGCCTGAAGAACTCTTTGACATGTCAAAGCTGCCACAGAGTCATTTTATATAAAAATGGAAGGGAAAAAAGGGCAGCACAGGTGGATGGGGAGCGAGCGAGCGAATGGTAAAGCATTCAACAGGCAATTACACTCTGCCGCCTGTTCTGAAGCGCTTTGAAATGAGGAAGAGCCAGAACCATTTCTCCACCACACACCCTACAAACCTGCTGCTCCAGACACACAGCCACGGCTTTCCCAAAGTCTGGCAGCCATTAAAGAGAGAGAGAGAGAGAGAGAGAGAGAGAGAGCGAGAGAGAGAGAGAGAGGCATAAAATGAGGCAAGAAACAGAACTGTGCAAATTTACACTTGTGATATTAGAGGCTATCCGAGGACAGATGCTTTGTGAGTCTTTCGTTAAGGAAGAGGCAGAAAGTAAGTGAATGTTGGTCAGGGTGTCAACGGCAGAGATTTCAGTGAAATGCAACATTTGAGCTTTTATTATTCTTTTATTTATTGCTTTTAAATATTGTTTTTTATTGAACCATTCAAAATGAACTGCATTGATCGTAGCAGTCCCACAAGGATGTGTCCTTGGGCCTTTACTGTTCACCATAATCTAAAAGTCCAGTGCAAACCAGATGATGCTTGACACAGCAAACCAAAACAAACTTTAATATTTCCAGTAAATTCAATTTCAGTTGGCATTACGGATACCACACATAGATGACCCATTATATTTTATTCTCAAGATATCAATCATCACTTCTGACTATATTTGACAATTTCACTGGCTACCATTTTAAGAATGAAAGAGAGGCTCTCACGGGAAGTAGTATGAAGAAAATCAAGAAAAAGGATGTCTTACTGTTGTGTAAGATGTGTTGTAGTCCGAGTCATTATCTGGTCAATAATGTAATATATTTAACATTACTTTCTCTAATGGTGATGTAGCTTTCAATAAAATTGCGGTTGAAAAAGGATTAAAAAAGTACTTATCTGGCAGTAGTTTCTTTTTTTTTTAATCAATGGCAATACCTCTACTTCTGGTTTCTTCCCACCTGAGCCTCTCTTTCATTCATAAAATGGTGGCTGCCTGAAAAAGGCGAACAGCGCTCACTCAATGTACTACACAACACTGGCTCTAAAAAAAATGGATTTTTTGCATGTGTGTGTGTGTCTATTCCTAAATATTACTGATTCTGATAGACTTGGTGCAGAGTAGAATCTTAAGATTGATTTAAAGACTAACGGCTGATTCTGAGTAGGAAAATGCATCCAGAAAGTACTTGTTTTAAAAAGATTTAAATGCAATGTTGTTGTTTTTTCTGTAAACACTTAAAAATGATAACTAATGGGCATTAGAGACAGTTAATTAAGATTTGTTTAACTTTGTTTCCATTGTTTGATATTCAGAATCACATTCGCGACAAAGCAAAGATGACATGTTCAACAATGTACCATTATAAAGAAGTGTGTGCACGGTGGAAATTATGCGATTTAGGAGACAAAAAATGAGAAGCTGCTTTTGATAAATATTGCATTCTCTAATTTATAAAAGGTGCAGTGCTGTTCTAGAATACAGTAATTCTAAAGGCTTAAAAAAGTTTGTATTCTTTTCAATTTGTTTTGCCATCAAATGAGGGAGGAGCTCATCATATAAATAGCTTAAAAACCATGAGTTGAAGTCTAATCAATTTAATCAATAACATCTCAAAAGAATTCCTAAGGCTTTTTTTTATTTAGAATTGAAACAGACATGCCCCTCCACCTATTTCCATGTTTTGTTTAAATATACGTTCTGCTCTGGGGTGTTCCTGCCTTTGGACAGCTCGTGTAGAATGTGTGAACGCGTGAAGAGCATGTACCTGATGGGGGTTAGTGGGGGTGTCCACCTTGACACATTCATCCAGCTTTTCTGAAGCTTCTCTATAAATGTTTTTAATTGTTCACCACAGAAATGTTCTGCTGGCACACTGATAGCAATTAATTTTCTAACAAGACATTGAAACTGGCTTTTGTGGACACAATCTTTTTAGAGTTTACAACTATTTTTTGTTGATAACTTTCTAGTTCCCTCTCTTAACCACTGCAGTTCTCTGTTTTTGTCTCATAAACACCCATGTAAATACGTTTTCATCTATTTCACCTAGGTGACTTTTCAGACAACCAATCCCATGTCGTTTTGATTATAGTCATGTTTCAGTGCATAGAAATATCACCAAAAATATGTACGGACAAGCAACAAGTTAGTCACAGAAAAAAAGTGAAAGAAACAAAAAATAACACAAAGTTAGAAGAACACCTAAAACAAAATGATTTTTCTCGATCATTCAACTGCAGTTTCATAGCTGAACTAAAATGAATGTTTCTCCTGGAAAAATGTGGTCTTTTAATTAAACATGTTTCAGGAGGAGTCATTAGGGCCTGACACCTGTGCCATCCAACCAACCTCACATGTAAGCTTTCTCCCTAGCTTGGGGGATGCAAGCCGTGCCGGACACCTGGCAGCTACCCATTATGTATGTCTGTCCACTGATGCCAGTTCATTGAAAATTATTTTGTTTAGGTGTAACATATTCAGTGTCTTCACCCTACAGTCAACTACTTCATTCTTCATCTTATTCATCTCTCTAAATTATGAGTTAAATTATTTTTATACGTATTGTTCTGTCTGTATTGTGTTCCTGTCCGTGCAATGTTTTCTTTGTTTGAGATTTTGAAGTATCCTTGAGTTTGAAGGCACTACATAAAATAGGCTCTGTAAAAAAACAAGGCGATCATGTACATTTACCTTGTATTGGATGAAACAAAGAGTGAACGAAGAAGAAGGTGAAGGAGGAGAAGAAGAAGGGAAAGGAGAAGAAAGAAAAGAATTAGAAGGAGGAGATGAAGAAGAACAAGAAGAAAAAAAGTAGAAAAAGGAGGAAGATAAGAAGAAAGATGGGAAGAAGAAGAAAGAAAAAAATAATAAGGAGAAAAAAGAAAATGAAGGAGAAGAGGAAAATAGAAAGAAGAGAATAAGAAGGACGAAGGAGGAGATGAAGAAGGAGAATAAAAAGAAGGTGAATGAGGAGAAGAAACGAAGTTGGAGAAGAAATAGAAGAAGGAGGAGTAGAAGAAAAAGAAGGAGAGGACAAGAAGAAAAAGAAGAATGTAAAGAAGGAAAAAATGGAGAAGGTGAATGAGGAGAAGAATGAGAAGAAGAGGGAGAAGAAAGAGAAGCAGAAGAAGAAGTAGGAGGAGAATAAGAAAAAGAAGGAGGACAAGAAGAAAAGAAGAATGAACAGAAGAAGGAGAAGAAAAAGAAGATGAATGAGAATAATTTCAACTTACAACTGTGAATAATGTGGACACACACACAAATGAAATAAAATTTTGAAGATAAACGTTTCTCTGAGGTAAGCAGACGATTTGGGACACAGGCCAAGAGTGAACCACGACAAAGGAGACAGTGAGAGCTGCAAACAGAAGAGGGAGTAGAGTAAACATTGCCGATAAAGGAAATTTCTTCGGCTTTATTCCTCTTCCTCCCGCGTCAAACTTTTCAGCCGGTTCTACAGTACGCACAAGTTGAAGGTTAGGAATGTGGGAAGCCCTCCCTGTCGTAGTCAGACCTCACGTCAGTTTGAAACCCGTCTGTCAGTCTGCCAGATGGTGAAGAGTGAGGGATTAATCAGAAAATGAATTTCCAGTGCTCCTGAGACCAGCAGTGACTGGCTCTTCACCACTCCAGCTGATGCTTGCCATTGCTTTGCATTTGATCTTTGATTTGTATGCAGCTGCATGGCCAAAGTAACTGCATTTATAAACACCTCTTGTGTGCACCAGAACCCGACTCAAGCAAGGACAGCCGACATTTGTTCCTAGATTCTGATATTCTGACATAAAGAGGTAACTTTCTGCATCACATACTTGTTAACTTTTTTTTAGGAGATTAGCCGTGAACTTTCTTTCACCAAAGATCCACACTTGCATGGACAATAAATCCAATCGTCCCTGTTTTATCATTAAGCTGATGTTTCTGGGCTTTGTATACCTAAAAGGTGCTTGGGCTCCAATAATCTTTCCAACTTCATGGAAAAGTTATTTGAGTGTTGAGCGGAGTTGCAGGGTCAGACAATACAATGTGAATTTGAACAATTATTGAACATATAGCATCTAGTATAATTCGAATAAATAGATCAACTCTGAAGTATATCTGATATATAGAAAAGAAAAAAAGTATTTTTTTTACTGCAGAGCATATACAGCCACACGTATGACCGATGTTGAAGTACAGCTCCTATTTATTCCAATATTTTTTTTCTAACCACTTCAGAGGGTTCTTCAGGTGCCTTTCTCTGTCGAAAGGTCACCATTCAATCAAAGAACAACACACACATTCAATCCTAAGGAGGATTCAATTAACCTAATAAATATAAATTTTTTTTTTCCTTTTGACAAAAACATGCATATCTGATGTAATGTTGAGTATTCGCTTGAACAAAGTTAGACCATCCAAACTCCTTTCAAGAAGGCCATGGCTGGTGTAGGATTACAAATTTAACATCTGTTGTAAGCTATGCTTTTCCTACATAACCATTTAACAACGGCCAAAAGTTATTGGTATTTAAGATTCATAACTTAACGATTGTGATTTACAGAGAACATTGCTTAATAAGATAGACAAACTCTTTTGACATAATACCAGCCAATGTATGTTGTCCTTTTTGGGGGCTGGTGGAATTTAGGTAGGTGTTACTTAATTTCTTTTTGGTTTCTTTTCTCAAGGTCTTTTGTTAACTGATCATGCTTTGAACTGAAGAAAGAATGTTTGCTGTACATTTACATTTACGCATTTGGCAGACGCTTTTTATCCAAAGTGAATTTGAATGAACATATTTTTTTTCTGTCAGTTCTTGCTTTCCCTGAACTGGGGTTCAAATCCCACAACCTTTGTGTTGTTAGTGCAATGCTCTACCAACTGAGCCACAGGCTGTGTTGAAAGGTTTTGGATGACTGCAGCTCTGAGCATTAAACTTGTTCTGTTACCACAAAATCACCTGGTCTGAGCTTCCTACACTGGCCTTAAACCAGTAATCTTCTTACAGCATGGCTGCAGTGCTACCGTCTACATCACCATGTCGCACATGTAATACTTAGACAAAATAAAATGTATTTTATAAGGTTGAAACTACGTTTACCATCAAGCTTTGCATCTTTTTTAAATGTAAAATGTGTGCATGGAAGGTATCTGTATGCACTCCACTTACAAGCCAGAGGCCTCAATCCAAAAACTGATGAGCCTTGACTCTAACTTTGACAAGAATTAAGCACTCCAGCGTGATCAAAGCTCCTCTGTCCTGCTCACATACATCAAGGCATCTTTGATAGACATCTTTGATAGGCCCTTAAAACAGAGCAATGCTGTAATGATTTAATGATCATTATTAAGAAATTTCTTGACCCTTCGGTTAGCTAAAGGGCATAAAAAGAACTCCTTGATCTCTTTTTGAATCCAGATCCCAATCATATCTAGCGAAATTACAATATGTTCATGTTAAAGTACACCACAAAAGATTGATTATGCAGAGACCAAGAGGTTGGAGAAGGAAATTGGGGATTTGGTGGTTTATGGTGGAGGCTGAAATGGAGTGACCAAGACTTGAGAAAGTGGAATCTGTGGACCATATTGGTGTACGAAAATTGATCAGTCAAGATAACAAATCAAAATTTATGGGTTATAAGTTAAGGCTAATTCCCAAATGCATTTAGAATTGAACAAAAGTCATATAAAAGTCATCGATCTCTGTTTGTGATATATTTTAGTGTCTAATTTGAATTTGGAATGACTCAGCTAAATTAGGGGAAAGTTTACTTGTGACTTGTAGATATGATTCCATGCAAGGTCATTGAGGGACTGCATGGCACCAATTGGTCTAAAGCTGATCTTCAACATTGAAGATGAGGAAGGCGGGTGGCCTCGTGATATTGTTGCATAGTCTTTGATTCCGATCTTTGTTCCAGAGGAAGGGTGCATTGGTTGGAGAAGCATGTGTTTGAGCTTTTCGTGCTCCTGGGGGCTGGGTGTTACACTAAGCCCTTACAGTTGTGGTAACTTTGCAAGAGTTGAAAGAGAGAAGTGGAAGGGAGTTGATGGGATGTGGTAGTTGCCCTGATCTGAATCCACAGAGGTTGTCAAATCAGAACAAGGCATTATGGTGTGATGTAATCTCTGAGTATTTTGAAAAGTGTAGTACCCAATATCATGATGTAAATACTACCATCTTCTTAATTGTGTAAACAAACAACACCATCGATGAAGCATGCTCACCCTATTCACAACAAGAACTAATCAAATTTTTTATTTAATTGAAAATAAAATCACATAAAAAAACTGTATTCAAATGCGCTCAATTCATAATTATAATTACATTAGCATACATTAGCATGCAAGACATTAATAGATAAGTCGTTTATTGGAAATCGATTTGTTCACTCCATTACAGTTTCTGGGACTTGACTTTCCAATGGAAGACGATGGGTCAAATATTCAAGTCTGTTTTTTTATTTACTGCTGAAAGATTATTATGGTCTGCTCGTCCGTCTTGAGTACTAGTTTTTACTAAACTGTAAAAAAATACACCGTAAATTTTACAGTAAAAACCCTGCAGCTGTGGTTACCAGAACTTTACCGTCGAATATATGGTAGCAGCGTTATTGGTTTTACAGTATTGTATTGTACATTTTTACAGATTTTTATATGTTTATAATCGTCTAATTAACATATTTTTGTTGCTATGAAAAACCTTTATACTTGAACAATTCAAGTATTTAAATCGTAATATTTATGGTTCATGACCATTTTTATACAGTTAAGAACTGTCTAATTTTAAGGTTTGTGTTGCAAAAATAACAGTAATTTTTTACAGATTTTACAGAAGTTTTTACAAATTGTACTGTACATTTTCCATATTTAATCATGTTTTTACGGTTTATAGCTGTCTAAATGTATGTGATTCCTAAGGGTTTCTTACAAAAATGATCCAAAACACATTTTACAACATTTTAAATAATTTTTCTTAGAGATTTTACGTAATTTGTTACTTTTACAACAGTAAACCATATTTAAATTAATTGTATCTGTTACATTTAAGGCATTACTCTGTGAAAACCATTACATTTTCACTGTACATTCTACGGCTATCACATGTTTTGTGAAATACAGTCTTTTTCTGTGGTACTCACACAGTATTTTGCATTTATTTTTCTCTTGGAGAGTTCATGTAGAGTTTGAAAGTTGGATTTATTTGCAGTGGATGGACTTTGATCACATTACCTGAAGATTCTACATTGGCGATAAGAAAGAATGTGGATAGATTAAGAGAGATTGGTCAAAAGGAAAAGGGGATTTCAGGTATAAACAGATGAACCCTCAACGTTAAAGTATAATGGAGCCTTCATTAAAGAGTTACACAGGAATCTGCAGTAACAAAAGAAAAGATGCTTGGAAAAGATGCAGGAGAGGGATGCTAGAGATGCACTTTTGTGACCAGAGTAGGAAAAGAATGCACAAAGGAGAAAGTGAGATGAAGGAAAGCTTAAAGAACTAACATAGCAATCCAGTAAGCGAGAGACAACTGGGGATTTTGATTAACCAACAGAGATGTAATTGTGGGGGAGTGAGATTGGGGCTTCATCAATGTCCTGGAACTCCATTAGGACTCTACAAAGATGCTCGGTTCAATTGGTTAATGCATCTGGTCAGATGTTCTATGAGGTCCTGGGAGTGTTTAAATGACTCTCTCTCAAGGACATTTGGCTGTCCACTTATGGGTTTTGAGATGGGAATAAGTCATCAGTCTGCCATTACAATATTCGGAGTAACTGTTTTCTATTCTTAATGTAGGTATGAATTGTTTGAGATTATATGGTCATATTAACAGAGAATTTTCCTGTGTTCATGAGTGTTTTATGTACTTAATTTTTCTATACTTGGACACTTCCTCCAGTTTTTTTTTCCAGGTCAACCAAGAGACATTAAACCCCAGAAGGTCCTGAATCTTCACTGGGGTTTCCCCAGGAGTGTCCAAATTCCCTCAAAAGAAAGGCACCATGAAGGCATCTAAAACAGGCCTTGGCCACCTGAACTGGGTCTACTCCAAGCTGCTCCCACACTCAAAATGAGATCCCCGCTACAGTATGAGTAAAGCTAAATTGCATCTTGTTCTTTTGGACATAACCTGCATCACCTTTTATCCAAACTTCCTTTTACCTCTGCAAACTGCCCTTCTGCAGATGAATAATTGTCTGGTCCATCTTTCTCCTAACCTTTTCCAGCCCAGAACTATGGTCTCAGAACAAGAGATCGTGATCTTCACCCCAGCACTACCTAACCCTTCAAGTTGCAAAACATTCCAACCCTAACTGATGAACTGAAGCTAACTGAACAGATGTATTTGTTGAGAAAGGTAAAGTCTTTCTACTTGGGACACAGCTGGGCTCAGCTGGAAATAGTGATGTGTGGCAACTATCCTTTAGCCCCAGCACCTACAAAATGATCCATAGAGGACCAGTACAACTTGACAATTTATCAATCATTAAAGAGGCCATTTTATGCAATTTTTAAAGAACTTAAATAAACATTCGAGCCATCTATACTAGCACTGCAACCTTAATAACTTTCTAAATGCAATATGGAAATAAAAAAAAATGTTTTTTAATCACTTTGTATTTTTGCCATTTCCACTTGCTCCTCCCACAATCATACTTTTGCCACGTCCGTTTTGGGACTTGTGACTACATCATGGGTAATGTAGTACATATTGGCCACATTACGTAGGGGAAATAGAATGGCATTAACTTGTTTAAACGAGGATTAGGAATTTTTCATAAAGAAAGTCCTAAGGGCATCGAAGAGTTCTGTGTAAGTCTCATCATTGTTCTAGTGTTTAATCTGATTGGTTAGTGGGCGGAGTAAACAAAAAGGAGTAAACACTTAAAAGACATTAGTGCATGTAAGTTAATGAACACATACTACAGTAAAATGTAAGATTTTACTGCAACTCAACAATGCATATTAAGTAGAAACAGAGTTTACACCCACCAAAATGTAAAGTGTGGGTTGTTCAGTAGGAGCATTATATCACGAACATGTAGGAGAGGACGAATATTGTCATAAAAATACATAGAAAACACTGACTTACTTGATTTTCCAGAGAACTTCCCACTATACTCCCTCACAAACAATCATGTCTATCACACCAGCCTCCCTGCTGCATGAGCCAAATATTCTCCAGAGTTCTCCTTATTTAAATACACATTTCTACAGAGTTTTTTTAGTTGGTTGTTGTGTGAAGGCTTCAAAGAGTCAAAGTGGAACATATGAGAGAGTATGACATCTCAATTACAGCATTGTTAATGATGCCAAGGAATTGTCTTGAGGAATCCACGTTGGTTGTTTACATACAGAACTAAACAGCTAGAGGGGGATTTCTAAAGCCCTATAATAGAGACATCTACAACCTTATGTTAGAGAATCAACGGCTGGGTCAGTTGAGACCTTCTCAAGGAGGCTTTATGGGTAACTGTAGTTTCACATTATGGATGTTAAGGACCAAGAGCTGACAGGAAAGCTACGGTCGATAGCAGTGACGTAAGCAGCGGATGTTGTTATAATGAAAAAAAAAAAAAACAAGGGAATCCACTGAACCAAAATGTCTATCACCTGAAAAGCTATAAAAAAGTACAGCAAGAGCAGGGCTGTATTCAGTGTTAAATACGAACAAACTAAATAAAACCTCAAGAAGACAAGTCAAGTTTTCCAATTAAAATGGTCCATCAACCAAGCCGCAGCTGTTCTGTGGGCGCTAAAGGTCCAAATTGTTGGCAATGACTATGTTTTGACAGAGATTGTCAGCATATTTTTAACAATTTAACCTAGTCATTTCACAATAAAGCAAGTGAATAAAAAACTAGACACAGAAAAGAGCCAGGT